CCAATGTATGACCTGGACACTATTTTGTGAAGTTACAGTGCTGTAACAGAGACGTGACAAGTTCAGGTTTTTAAGTGTGAATTTTCATGGAGGGTTTTGATGCATCCGTGTCCCACTTTGGAGCACTTGAGCAGGCTACATATTCACAATCATTCCAGTTTTTTTCAAACTTTGAATTTGTACACTGTGTCCATGTCCCATTTTAGAGTATTTTAGCAGGCTATATAATCCAACTACCCCATAAAGGCATACCATTTCTTAAAGAAGACATCCCAGGGTATTTCAAAAGGCATATTTTAAACCTTGGCGTGGGATCATTTTTCTTGTACCAAGTGTAGTGGTAATAAGTGTTTTTTTCTGCCTTTTTGACACACAAAGTGAGTTTGCAAAGTATATTTTGCAAACCTTATGTGTGCTACGACTGTATAATACTACATATGTTGCACAGCTATGTCATCTGAGTACAGCAATACACCCATATGTACCTTTGCCAGGTATATGTGGATGTTGAAGGGACACATTTGAGATGCAGCCATTCAGTTTTTTTCTAACTTTGAAGTTTTACGCTGTGTCCATGTTCCATTTTGGAGGAGTTTAGCTGATTGGTTATTCAAACCTCCCCACAAACACATACTATTTATTTAAGAATACACCCTGGGGTAATTAAAAAGGCTTATTTAGAACCTTAGCGTGTAATCATTTTTTATCTAGTTTGTTCCAGGTGTACTGGTAACAAGCATTTTTTTATTTTTTTTAAAAACTTTTTAAAACTTTTTTTACTTTTTAAAACACGATTATAAACTTTTTTGTTTAAATTTTTTTTAAACTTTCCTAAACTTTCTTAAAACTTTTTTTACAGATTTACAGAACCCCTAACTATCAGTAAACAGCACTAACCGTAAATTGCCCAATTTCTCATAACTCCCACCCACCCCAGCAAGCAAAATATATCATTTTAAAATGTTATAAATAAAAAAAAAAGTTAACCCTAACAGTATAATACTGTGATCTGTATTTTGATCACTGTAGGTAGTGATCAACTGGCAGGGAAGGGGTTAATTTTTATTAGGACTGGGTAAAGGGGGGTGGGATTTTTTAAAACTTTTTTTTAAATGTTATTAAACTTTTTTTATTAACTTTTTAAAAACTTTTTTTAACGTTAACCCCTAGCTAGCCTAACACCGAATTCCCCAATTCCCCACTAACTTCCACCCACCCCAGCAAGCTAAATGTATCATTTTAATATATTTAAATTACTGTAATGAATAAAATAAAATTAACCCCTGAGGGTTACAAAAAATAAAAGTTGACCCTCAGGGGGTAAAAAAATAAATCAGATCCCAGTAAAATGTAGTCCCTGCCAATTGATCACTGTAGTCAGTGATCAATTGGCAGAGAAGGGGTTAATTTTTTATTTTACATGGGTAAAGTGGGTGGGATTTTAAACTATCTTTATTTTTTTTAACAGGGAGAAACCGCTGATCCATCTCCCTGCACTTCACACAGAACGCAGAAGAGCAGGGTGGCGGATCAGAAGTCCCTGCAGCACATGTGCTCCCTCTGACAGCTTGTCAGACCGATCACTGCTGCATCGAAAGCGCGATTTGTAACAATTGAAAAGCATTTGGCTGCTTTTCAATGTCTATTTGGCATTTAATAATACACTCCAAAGGATTTCTGACTGTCATGACAGTCTGTCACAGTGGCGTACTAACGGGGGGGCGGGGGGGGCGGTCCGCCCCGGGTGCCAGCAGATTGGGGGGTGCCATGACCAGCCATGCCGCCCCCCCCCCATGCTGCAGCCGCCCGAGCGCTCTGTAGAGAGCCTCAGGCGGCTGCAGCTTTGCCCGGGCGGTGCGTCCATGAGGGCGGACCGCACCGCCCGGGCGCAGCCTGAGGAGAGGCTGACAGGAGGGAAGCGTTCAGCGTTCAGCGCTCAGCGCTCCCTCCTGTCAGCTTCCTTTGCTATAGCGTGGCCGAGCCTGTATAGTCGGCGGGTACAGGGAGCAGCTGTCTCCTGTACCCGGCCGGACTAACAGGAAGTGCACACTGAGTGTG